TTGCATTGGAGTAAAAAAGGCTAAACACACCACACTTAGATTCTTATTTAATGAAATTTAAGAAAACCATACATTTTTACTTTAATTTCCATGTTTAAATTAGATAAATATTTTTCCAAAGCTCTGTTTGTGATACCTAAAACCTGAACGATAAAAGAAAATTAAATGAATTTTCTTAATAATTTCAAAAGTTAAAGCTCCAATTTGGAGGTATCAGCTGGTCATAATCTGTTCTGTGTTGTATCTATATACAGTATAATCTTAACCTGAGACTTATGATCGTTTTACAAGAATTGTTCAGGATGTGCTGTTGTTGAGTGTATGTTGGAACCAGATAAAAACAACACTCCAAATTTGGGTTACCCATGTATAAAGAAGCATTGTGGCTTTATTAATGAACAAACAGCTGATGCCATTCGTGTGCAGAAGTCCTCGATCAGAGGATAATTGCGCCTGATCTCGTCTGTCACTAATGCCCAATACAAAAACTATTGCACTCTGAATATAGTATTTCATCAGACAGCTTTGCTACACATATATATAAAAAAGGTTCCATTGGGAATAAAACATCTATCGGGAACAGAAGCATACTAGCATACATCCGCTTAGCCACATGTTTTGTGTAACTAATTGGATAACCACACCAACTAAAGCACGAAATTGACTTTTTTTTTTTTTTTTTATCCCCCTGTAGTTGCGGTGGATGGATGCCCTCTCTGCAGGGCGTTGGTGGAGCACACATTTATGAGTCATAAATCTAATGTGCCTTCCATTCCTTGTCATATCATAAACACTCAAAGGAAAAGAACTGAAGCATTCTCCTTTTCCCCTCTTAATCCACATTACAGATTTGGCAAGATAGTTAAGGGATCATCAGCTCTCCATTTTGAGCAAATTCTTCTTTTTCTGACAACTGAGTTTAATGATCTAACTTTTCTTGATGTTTTTTATTTTTTATTTTTTTATGTCAACGTGTCTTTTTGTATGCGTCTGGTTGGGAAGACAAGAGATTAGCATGAGTCAGATAGTGATTCAGGACACCAGGTGGCAAATGCCTAAAACCATGCTCTCTCTCCCTCTCATTTCCTCTCACTTGTTCACAACCTCCTCTATAGTCTTCGCACCATCACTTCTTCTCTTTTTGCTTGCCACATCATCTCATCATTCCCAATTTTTTTATCTCTTCCCTCAATTTGTCCCCTTTAAATAAAAACTAAAAACTCGCTCCTGTCTCCAACACTGGCCAAGAGTGTGCCCCAAACATACTAACTCATCACTTCATAGGTGGGCAGGGAGAGGTTAACAGGGGGCAGATAAAGAGGGTAAAAGCAGATCGTGTGAAGTGGGAGAGCAATAGCCAGATGTGTGGAGATAAACAGGAGTGTGTCGAATTGAGGTGGAAATTGAGCACGATTCTCGAGGAGCGTACTGGAAGAGGGGGGTAGAAAAAGCATACTCCTTGTAACGTGCATGTTCCTGAGGGAGGGTGGTGGTGTTCATGGGTGATTCTGAAAGAGTGGGACATGGGAATGTGTAGCGAGAGGCAGAGAGGGTTATAGAGAGCTATGTAGAGATGGATGGAGGAAGGGATAGAGAGATAGAAGGAGGGGTGGTGATCCTGGGGGCCTGATGACTCATGGCTGTGCTGCGGTTTGTGCGTCACTGGCGCTGGCTTGAGGAGGAGATAGTGGAGAGGTCTACGCATTTAATTACAGCCTTCCAATTTAGACACACTTTACACACACACCTACCTACACACACTTGCATCGAATAATATCACAAAGAATTGTGTTGCAAGTTCACTAATTGGCACATATAGACGGATGAGCACTCACAGATCTCTGGCGCATATTCGGAATACCTGCAACGAAATGATATTCATATTTTTTGCCTTGCATTCCTTTGGTTTCAAGCTAATTTTTATGGTTCAGTTACCCCTTTTCCCAGACAGACCTTGAGGCGAAAACTTATCATCCAAACGTTAAAAAAAATCCATAATACCAAATTGCATCCTATGAGCAGCTGCACCACATTGCTTGTGACTGGAATATGAAATAGAGTCAGAGACGTACAAGGGAGACGTGGAAGACTCGCTTTGATGACGCAGTGTGGCAAACTCTTCTCCACAGATTATAACAGGAGAATTTTCACAATCCAGCCTACGTGGCATGACGTACAAGTCATCCTGCTGGTTAAAGGTCATCCTGGAAGGAGCAGGATTTCTGCATCGCCTGTCATTAGTTTGATCTGATTATTCACACTTGTATAGCTTCTACAAAGACATGCAACATCCGAGCGAGGAGGGGTTACTTTTGTTTTAAGGAATTGTTAAAATCCTTATTCTAGATTTTTTTTTTATGCACTGTGGAACTGAAATGTCCTCTGTATACTTTTAAATGGACCTTAAGTATCTGCTGTCAGTTGAATTTTTTTAAAAGCAATGTGTTTATGCAGATAAAAACAAGAGCAAGAAGTGGAATAAAAGCTTCTTGAATACAAAATAGATAGCACAGCCCAAAAATGAAAATGGATAAATGGTTTTAGGGTCCTTGAAATACCAGTGTTGCCTATATTTAAATGTGGTATTCTTTTCTTTTTTTATTTAAAACTTCAGAGATTTCTGTTGAGAAGACATCTATTTTAGCAAAATGTCTTCTGTAAGCTTGTAGATCCTTCTTTTTTCCAATTTCCAAAGTTTTTATTTTTATTTTAATGGATAAAATTTAAACCTTTTTTTAGTTTTCTTTTTTTAACATTCCTAAACAGTTAAATCAAAAAGCATTTACCTTGTAAAATGTGACTGCAGTCTTTTTTTTTTTTTTTTACCAAAGTTTGTAATATCTCCAATACAGATAAAAACAGGTAAGACATTAAAAGCATCTAAAATGTCATAGTTTGTTATTGCTGATAGAAAATTGATTGGAAGCATCTACATATATAAAATAACACTATAAAATTTGCAAATACCAAATTCTATTTATACAGTATACAATATGAATCCCAAAACACCCCAAGTTTAATTAGTAAAGATTAGGTAGCAGCACCAGAACAGTCAGCAATACTGTTCATCAGAGCTTAAAATAACAGAGTTAATCTGATAGAGTTTAGCATTTTAATATAATCTACTGTAAAAAAAATCTTACAATTTTAATCGAAGTATGTTAATAAAACAGAAAATCACATTTATACAGACATTTAATGTAGGGTTCTTACACAATTCCCATTTCTAAGTTTTATCATTTTCCAAAATCTAATTTTCTTTTTTATTTTATTTTCATTTTTTGAATACTTTAGGAAGATATTAAACTTTTGAATTCAAAATATGAATCTTGTTAGGTATTATCATCTGTTTCTACCTCAAAACTCGAAACAATGCTTGAGGGCCTTTTTGCTGTTCTTTTTTCATTAGGGCTAACTGAAATTTATCACAACTGGACAAGTTTATTGTAAATCCTATGCAGGGTCTTTAAAATAATTTGATATCTTATAGTGTTATTTCAAAGAAGCTGTTTCAATCCTTAATTTGAAGCTAATAAAACTCAGTTTAGATTAAGATCCTTATAGAAGCATCTGTTTCATTTTTATATTCAGTTTAGTATATATATATTTATGTATTCTCTATTAGTGATTTTAAGAGTAAAAATTTGTTTAAAATGATCAAATTATTTAAATCAAAGGATTTCTTTAGTGATAAATAAATTAAAAAGATGATATGACTTTTTTGATAATTTTTATTAATTTCAATTTAAAAAAGGCAATATATAAATACATTTGTATTGTTTTTTATTTAACTTTTAGCTATCTTTAGTGCATATTCCCTTTTTAGCAACAGCAAATAAAGCTCTTCTAAACACAAAAACCTGAAGACATATTTAAGTGATTTCTTTTTGCACATCCACCTTTGGATATATACATTGGAATGATTCAGACAAAAGGCCCACCTTCCGCTTAGTTTTCCCACCTCTCATGTCCAGACACATTTACGCACCATGTGCACCAATTACACCCTAAGAGGTACCAAGCGTCACTCTTAAACAATAGAACCAATCAGTTGCCCTCTCTGGCGCTCCCCCCAGCCTTGCATGCCCTTTTACTACACTCTATTTTCCAGCCCAGAGTGCTGGGTGGATAATTTTCCAAACAACAGCATTGGAGAGTGGGGGAGACTGGCAGAGGAAAGAAGAGGCAGAAAGAGATAAAGAGGGAGAGAGAGAGAGAAGGAGTCACAGTGGCCAGTTCATAGAATCTAAAGGCAGAACTGACAATTCAGCATTAAATCCAAATTAATGCTCCTCTGTAAACCCCTCATATAGAATCTCCTAAGGTGCAAAAATGAGTGATGAAGCATCTACTTTGATGGTAATTTTGCAAAGAGGCCCCATTTATATTTTTGGTATTTGGGAAATTAATTGTGGAAAATACATTTGAAAAAAAAAAAAAGATAAATAAAACTCTAAAGTAGTTTAGCAGATTTATATAAACTCATATTTGTTTCTATTTTTTTCTATTGTCTTTTTACTGATATTTTACGAACATAAAATATTATATTAATTTAAGAAAACATTGAAAGTCTGTAGAATATGAAAATGTTTATGTAGTGGGAGTCATGTATATGTTATCTTCAGTAATATTCTTATTATTCTTATTCTTCTTATTCTTATTTGTATGTGTTGTTTTAAAATAATTTCGGGGGGGGGGGGGTGAGTTCCCCAGCAGTTTTCAAGGTCTTTCAATTTAACGCCTATTTCCCCTCTCATTTATGTCCGTTATCATGAGTAGTCAGTGGCCACATCCCGAGGGAGGGAAATCCCAGCTGTCACTAAATAACTTTTCAGATCACACCAATGTAGCTAATGTCCGCAGACGCCAAAGGCCGGGGAGTCCATTTAACAGCCACTTAATGCATGAGCACACAAGTGGCACACGAGCACAGGTGCATGTGCACACACACTGACCCAGCCATGCAGCATGTTACAGATTACCCTAACCAGGCTAATGATCTCCTCGATGGGACAACTGGGACTCTTCAGAGGCTGTCTTCAGCCTGATGTCCCACTGGGACACGAAGAGAGCCTCCAGGGTAATTACAATGTAAATTCTCTGTGTGTGTGGGTGTGTGTGTTGGTGTGTGTAGGGGGGGTGGGTGGTTTATCCAGCATGGATTTGCAGTTCCCAAGATTAAGCTAATCTACTATTGTCCTTTCAGTGCAGGAAGGTTTTGATGTCTTTTAAATCATTGTTCATTTATTTCAGTAACTTAAACAGAAAAGCAGCACAGTAATGCTTCTTCATGGGCATCTGGATACATTTAAAAATGCTATATTTTTATTAAAAACTTTGATAAAGAAAAAGCTTATTTTTTTAAGCAAAGTAAGGAATCCCCTTCGATTATATCAACTCCTTTTAAGTTCTTTACCAGCTTTTGTTCTCCCACAGGAACGTGTCTTTCAAAAAAAAAAAAAAAAAGTACATTTAATATCCGAATCAGTCTGGACAGAATACACATGGGAAGGGAGGGAGCAACTGAGAGAGATGAATTGGTTAAATAGAAGGGTGATGGCAGTTATAGGCAGAGTGAAGGTAGATAATGGCTTAGCATTCTCACCCCCGTTTTTATTCTCCTCACTGCCTTTGTTTCGACTTGTGATCCTCATCATCACACCTCATCATCATAATTGTTTAGCTCTCTCTTTCTTTTTTTCTCTGTGTAACCAGCCTTGTGTTCCACCCCTTTTGTGTCCTGCTCACCACACCAATCAGATCGTGCAATGACATTATGGCTCATTACACCTGGACAGAAGCATTTGCAGCTCATGGACAGCCCCTCACTTTGTGTCAAAGAGGTAATAATCATTTTAAGTTATAAAAATAGGATTCAAATATTTCATTTCATTTCATTTGTCTGCTTTTTGTCTCAGCTGTGTCCAGGGACACTTACATGTAGCGAGTCGTCATGTATTCTGTAGCTGCATCCTCATCACACCTACAGAAGAGCACTAATGGATAGCGAGAGGTTTAGAACTGGGAAAAATAGAAGCAGAGAGAGGGAATCATCGGTGAAGCAGAAGTAGGAAGAGCGGCAGCAGAAAAACATTGTGGTCATCTGCAGTGCGATGAGTCACCTGTAGGCAACACACACACCCACACAAATTTATATGCACCCACACAATCCCTCAAAAGAGCTGCCACAGCTGTGTAGCTATAATGCAACATTGTCTCATGGACTGTATCCACAGAAAGAGCAGCACACTCAAACAGAAACAGATATTGGAGAAAACGGATGAAATAAAAAAAAGATTATCTGATGATTTGACCTTTAACAGTCTCACTATAAAAACAGAGATGTTTTCCAGATCATTAACTTATAAACAAAACGTTAATGAAAGAGCCAAACATCTGTATTTGTGTGATTTACTCCCATAGCATTTAGTACAAGCAAAATGTGTGGGTGAAATCAGTTATTGCATTATGTGTACTAACTTTCCTCTCCATCCTTTCTATTGTTCTTCTTATAGGGTAGAACAGGGGTCTTCAAAGTTTTCCAGGCGAAGAACCCCCAAACTGATGGCGAGATGTAGCGGGGACCCCCTAATTATATATGTTGTATGAAATTTTGTTATATCAAACTGGTCCTATAGTCACTCTATTACAGATGGAGTAATTTCACCCTGGGATTATTAAAGTATTTCTGATTCAGATTCCTTGTTGAATGGACAGGTGTTGTGAAAGAAACGGTGCCCAGCTTGAAAGAGCTCCTGTGTGTTGCTGAATGTGTTTGTTGATAACTGAAAGACACCTTCTGCCTCCATTTATCTCCATTTATTATTGGAAAAAATTGCAGGGGGGAATATAAAAAAAAGTCTAATCAACCAAAGCTTTTGCGACCCCATTGCAGCACTTCCGTGGACCTCCTAGGGGTCGTGGACCCCCTGTTGAAGACCTCCGGGTTAGAGACTTAAATGTCATTGAATGGATACTTGCCTTAAACACATAATGACGGCATAATAACACGAGATCTATATAAAAGTGGTGAATCCAAGGTTCACTAGTTCATGAGTTGTGGTTTTAATAATGAACAGAACACAGATCCAATACCACTTACACGTACTTCTCAACTATAGCTGTACAGTATATAATCTGAAAATCTGCAATTATCTGTCATTATTTATCTGTCATTATTTTTACGATAAATATATATATATTTATCGTAATTTTCCAGTATAATCTGTATATAGTTTTCATATTACAATTACTCTCTGTTTATACATACCATTCATAGTAAGCACATAAATAGTTTCTGTGCACATCTAAATGAATATTTATATCCTCTATAGCACTTCTGGATAGATGCAAACTACACTTAGTTGCGTTGTAGTTGTGAAAGTGAAATGACAATAAAGTTTAATTCTATTCTATTCATTTAAAGCAATGCTTTGAAGAGTTAAAGGAGAATTTAAAATGAGAAAATAAGGTATATTACAGTGAATACATTGTTTATTCATATATTTCCATTATATCTGAACACCAATTGCTCTGGTTCCTTTTAACAGTGCATCTAGTTAATGAGATGAGATAAAGCAATATATATATATATATATATATATATATATATATATATATATATATATATATATATATATATATATATATATATATATATATATATATATATATATATATATATATATATATATATTTATAGCCACAATTTTACTGATCTTTAAGTTAGCCTTAAATAATCCACAAAGTTGGTGAAGCTCTATTTTCTATATGTACTTTTACACATACCGTAGAGCAATGGAGCAATTTGTTTTTAATATCTCTTCTGATATCAGTAGTCAGCATTTTGAATGTTTAGCCCGTTGCAATAATTTTAGATGGCTGAAAAAAATTTCCATATTTCCATTTGGTTTTCAGAAAAAGTACACAGACCACAGATCTAATCCTGAAAAAAGTTTTCGAAGTACAGCTGATTATTAGCTTGATTTACTTAATGTCCTTTAGTTTATAAATGAGTAACAATAAAATGAGGACATTCATTTCTTTTCAGTAGCCGAAACAAATCGCAATAAATCTTTAATTCATCCGGATTAAACATAAAATACAAGGTGTCAATTTATTCATCTATTTCATGGGAAAAGATAATGCACACTATTGAGTTCACAAAAAAGAGACTCTTTAAGAACTGGCTAAGGAAAATGTTTTTATTGTCACAACTATAATACAGCTTTCACAAATCACGATATGTGTGCTCAGTGTAAAATTATAATTATTCAATTCAGTAAAGACATTTTAAAATACAAATGTGGGATTAAATGTCGTCCAGGCTCAGAAGATGCTGTAAAGTATTGCTCTTGTTTCCTCAGATGGCAAACTGAACTTTATGATTGGTAGGAGCAAGATGTTTCTGCATTTTCTCTGTAAAAACTTGTATCTCATCTCCCAAACTATCACCTTTTCTGTTTTCAATTTAGGACACAATTTAGGAGTGCTGGCACAAGCATGATTTAAAATATAAAAACTTTCTCAGTGTTTCCAAATTGTCAGTCTTTCCAGCAGCCTTTAATTTAACAGAGTGACACAAGAGTTGCTTAATTTAATCCTTAACAATAGACATGGATTAAATCGCTCATATTCTTACCCCAACACCATACGCTACACAGGCAGCAGCAAGATGCTGCTCAAATGAAAGCCTACCCTGTGACTTGGAGAAGATCTCTTACATTATTAGCTGCTTGATGTCATCGCCTGGTTTGTAGCTACCATTTTAAGCTCCTAAGCGTACGTTTTGGTGGGGGGAAAAAGCAAGGAAAAAACTAACAATATACATTGAAACTAAAGAATAGAAGGGTTTAAGAGATACGGTTATTCATTTTATATGTATATATTTTGCATTAATGTCTCAGGTTGTCTTTGTTTAACAGATACAAAACAGCAAGACATTAAACATTACTTATCTGAACTCTCCCTGCATTTAACTACCACCTCTTTCTACCCCTCTACCTACCCCACCCTTCATCTCGCTCTTTTCATGCCTCATCACTAACCCCCCCAAACCCCCCCCCCCCCCCCCACGCCCCCCCCCCCCCCCCCCCACACCGCCCCACTCCCTCCCCATCCACCCATTTCCAGATTCCTGAATGAGAATAGAGACTAATTCAGCCTATTTGTATTAATAGTTGCTTGCGCTGCGTCTCTAACAGCAGCAGGAAAAATAATTTGAGTGGGAAACGCTCTTGTGTTGCTATTGCCTGCTGCCTCCCTCGCTCCCTCCTGTGTGAATGCAATCACAGCTGCATCTTATGAAGCATTTCATTTAGGGAAATGTTAGTTAAGTTATTTATGCAAGTTTCAGGAGACTAGGAACATTCAGGTGAGAGAGACTGCAGAGAAGCAATTAGCCTTTTTCAACTGTGTAGCCAGGGCAACAATGTCATTGACAGACATTCTGATTATTAATATTTCCCTGCCACTTACTGGGTTTGAAACTTTGCATTGTTAAGAAAGCAACGGGAGACTGGTTGAGAATGTTCCTGCATAGATGTCTTTGTCATCACCACATGAGCTGCTTCTATGAGGTTTTTACACTTTCTGATGGCAACCTTCAGCAGTTGAGCACCATGTGGGAGACTCAAGCAAACATCCACAATGGAACAAATCACTGGACCATTTCTGTTGAGCCTGTTTTAGTACTGTTCGCTAAATTGCTTTAAGGACATTTTCAGGTATATTTCATGGGATAGATCCACTAGACTTTACAAGTTTTTGTATTCTTTTTTAGATTTTATTCTTTGTGAAGATCAACAGCGCTTGTTATTCTATGATACTAAATGATTTGACATACCTCAAAGTTTTCCTCTGTTTGGCCCACATTTAAGACTATTCTCAGAGATAGATAGATAGATAGATAGATAGATAGATAGATAGATAGATAGATAGATAGATAGATAGATAGATAGATAGATAGATAGATAGATAGATAGATAGATAGATAGATAGATAGATAGATAGATAGATAGATAGATAGATAGATAGATAGATAGATAGATAGATAGATAGATAGATAGATAGATAGATAGATAGATAGATAGATAGATAGATAGATAGATAGATAGATAGATAGATAGATAGATAGATAGATAGATAGATAGATAGATAGATAGATTTCCTTTGATGGAAGAGCTCAAGGTCAACTTTGCCACATAAGGTATTGATTCATTACATGAAAATATGGATGTATTGTTTTTAAATCCTAAAGCTTCAGTTATTTAAATTATGGACCTTTTCTCTTTTGAATCCTACTTAAAACGAAAGAAATGCTATAAAGACATAATGTACCTAAAGTTAACAGATTTTAAAAGTTTAATGTAGAAAGTTGCTTTTTCTAACTCAGTTTGCGCACATGCATGCTCCAAGTGATCAATTCTATGTACAGGTTTTTTTAAATGTAATTGTATTTACTCAAAAACCAAAGGAACTAAGCTGAGTTGCAGATTATGCAAATTACTATCACAATTTGTTTTTGCTTTTAATCTGTTTACAAAGCAAGACATAGTGTGCTTTCACCACACATCATAGAGTCAGTGGATTGATTCAAAAGGCTGAGAGCTTCTTTGGTCATTTAAATGTACTGATGTTTGAGAATGTGACGTCCAGTCGCCTGCTCTCTTCTCACTGCTGTCATGTCAGAGTCGATAGCTTCCACTTCCCATCCACACATGAGATTTTTTTCAGATAAAATAAAGCTCCGGAGGGTGAAGCTGAAAGTGAGAGAAAGAGATCTGTCTTGCCTCCAAGGTCAACCAGCTGCCACATTCAATGAGCCTCTTCAGCCTGTGAGCCAACAAAGCATGGAGTGACTTCCAACCATGAATTTGTCATCAAACCCCTTACACCCCTCCTCACCAACCCCACTGAACCCTCAACAAACAAAAACACACATTAAAGAGCTTAATAAAATGCTTTTCACCGAGTTATTCAAGATGTCCACAAAAACCTGTTTGCTTCCGATTTTAGAATTTATTTTCCATTTTAGCCTTTGTTGCCTTTATCTTCCCACAGCGGGTAGTCTCCATTGGCGCTGTCTGTTTGTGTTTACTGCCGGGAAACCGACTCTGT